CACGCGCAGCAGACTGGCATCAAGGTCAGCCTTTTCTTCATTGCTTTTTTATTCTTGGAGAATGTTTTAAAAGGACTCGAATGGATAGACATGGATTTTTTTCTAAATATGCATGATTTATCAAATTCATCTTAATGTGCAATTGCAGATAATCGCGTGTCTGTGCGAGACGTCGGAGGACCGCGAGGAGGGTCGCACGGACGACGTCCTGTTCGGCCAGATGAAGTCCCTCGCCGCCAGCATCAGCGACTGGTCGCGTGTGGTGATCGCCTTCGAGGCTCTGTGGGCCAGCAATACCGGCGTCCTGGCCACAGCTGCGCAGGTACAGGAGGCCTTGGCCAAGCTGCGACACTGGCTGCGCGCCAACGTCAGCGACAAGGTGGCCAACAGCACCAGAATCCTGTACGCAGGTTCCGTTTCGTCGAGCAACTGTCGAGAGCTGGCTCAGCTGGAGGACCTGGACGGCTTCCTGTGGGGAGCGCGGCCCTCAGACCCGACATCGTCGACATCATCAACGCCCGACGACCCGACGTGTCCAGCCTCATTGCGCACTTCGACCGACCCGACGGCCGACGCGCCTGACGCGGGCGGCAGTGCGCTCTTTTTGCCCGCTGGGTTTTGTACAGATATTTATGGACGAATGTAAATATGGACGTTATCATCCTATGTATTTCTCATGTATGTTTTGTTATTCACCCTTTTAACCGCTAAGGATTTATTTTATTTTATTTAATGTGCTCTCTTTCAAATAAAGTATTTTGAGATATACACGGTCCTTTTATATTTTCTAAAACCTGTGTGAAGGAGCCCATACACGTAAATGTATACATATACATATGTATATATACATACATACACACACACACACACACACACACACACACACACACACACACACACACACACACATATATATATATATATATATATATATATATATATATATATATATATATAAATTATAGACGTTTCTGCAAGAACTTTTCCCAGATATCCGCACCTTTAACAGACTTGCTGAGTACTAAACGGACATTCAGGTGGTCAGAGGACTGTCAACAAGCCTTTAACAACTTGAAGTACCTCTTGTGTACCCCCCCGTCTTGCGAGCTCCTGATATCGGCAAACCATTTGTAATTCATGTTGACCAGTGATAGTGGTGTGGGAGCGGTCCTCTTGCAGAAGAACAAAAGTGAAGTGCTTCACCCGGTGTGTTATTTTTCTTATAAGTACAAGTCTTATCAAAAGTCTTACGCCACCGTCGAAAAGGAGGCCTTGGGAATAGTATTAGCAATCGAAAAGTTTAGAGTTTATTTAACAAACTCTGTTCATCCAGTCAAATTTTCACTGATCATCATAACCCGTTAACTTTTATAAAATAAAGTTTAAAAACATGCGTGTTGAGGTGGGCTTTAACATTGCAGCCATTCAATATAAAGATATTGCATATTAGAGGCACACACAATATCATAGCGGACGCAATTTCAAGATCGTAAGTGTAGTCTATACACGCTGGCCGCTGACTCTACACTGCGGCGGACAGAAAGGAAAAAGGAACACGCTACCTTCACCCGTCTAGCCGAACGAGCTGTTCGGTAATCCTACATGGCAGTTAGCTAGTTGAACTTTTTCCCGTACGGGAAAAAGTTCTTTTTCTTGCGGGGAGGAATATTACATAATGGGGAAAATAAATTAATAATTAGTAAAAAGCTAAAATTGTCGGCTACTGTAACGAGGCAGTTCCTGCAGTCGCGTTTGCAGCCCCCCCCCCCCACCGTCTTGAGGCCTACCCGTATGTCTTGGGAGATTTGCCTCGTTCACTCCACCGCCATAGGCCTGGGCAAGACCTCTGTCATTTGCTGTTTTTATCACATTCTGGGTTTGTACTTTGTATTCCTCTTTCATTAGGAATAGGGCGATATATTACATTTTAGTAATATATCGCATAGGCAGGATTCTTTGTTTATTGTCTGATTTTGTGTGTTTCGTCTGTTTTGTTTGTTCGTTTGTTTTGTCTGTTTACGTTGGTGACGGAATAAATAAATAAATTGTAATTAATGAGTTGATGTATTTTTCCAAATCATTTTACAATGAATAAATAATAATCATTACTGGTATACAATTCTTGATTAACAGTGAAAGATAATGAATATAATAAATAACGTATAATGAAGGATGAATAATAAGTGACAATAAGTGACTTTAATGAATTAGTTTGTATATAAATAAGAAAGGAATATAACATAATACAATTAAGAAAAGAATACATCATTGATAATGAACTTTGAAGAAAATAATATTAATGAGAGATGATGATAAATAAATGAACAATGAACAAAGTGAATGATTATAATAACTTGATGGCATTAATGAGCCTTATATGGAATGAAGAATAAAGTAATACAAATGAATTAACCAGAAGAATCTCGCAAATCACTAGTAGTACTTTTGCACGAGATGATGATGTTACGTGGTATTTAACCGTTCATACCAGGCCATATCCTTCAAATTTGACTTCTCTTCTATGATTTTGGCAAAAGCATTGGGAGAATTCGAGTTCAGCAGAGCTGCTCTTCCCCTTAATTCTCTTGGTGACATACCAGCCGTAACAATATATATATATATAATATATATATTATATATATATATGTGTGTGTGTGTGTGTGTGTGTGTGTGTGTTGTGTGTGTGTGTGTGTGTGTGTGTGTGTATGTGTGTGTGTGTGTAAACAAACACATGTATCCACACTTATATATGTATATATATATTACATATATGTATGTATACGTGTGTGTTGCCTTTGTGGGTTATTGATTGACCTTTAGTAAACAATGGATATTTTCCTTTGAGTAGACAAAATAATGGAAAGATTATAGTCACTTATTTTTTTTTTCTTTTGATGCTCACATATTTTACCGCTAAGTGGGATAGACGGCATTAGATATATGGAGAGAATTTCATTATTAATCTATTGCAGACCAGGATCTCCTTACAAGATGGAATGAAGGAGTTACTAAGCTTGGTTATTGTGAAACATTACAGGGAGGTAAAAGCTCAATCATAAAGAAGAGCAAGATGCACTGCACGAGTATGTACGAAATGGAAATTGATGAACAAATAGAAAATGAAAGAGTATACGAAAACACAAAGAGGTATTTTAAAAGTATTTTTCATTGTTCTAGTTATTTGTTGTATTGCTATTTTTTTAATGTGATCTGAATTATTTGTGATTTTTTGGTCAAGAAACATAGATTGTAAATGCATTCGCGTTTTCTTTCACGAACTGAGAGTTACGTTGATCCCTTGTTATAGATTCTGATCCCAAGTTGATGATTGATGTCTCTTCATTTATTTCATCGTGTTGTTGCATCTAAAACCGGTCAGTCGAGTTGGCGTGTTGTCAATCAAATTAGACTTTTTTTTTATCCACAAAACTTAAATTCCCTAAACCGGGGAAGGCAACTCAAAACCCTTCGAGGGCCAATTTTCCCCTTCAGCTGCCATCTTGAGGGCCAATAAACGTTCATACTTGGCTTCCAAGGATTACGTTACTAAAACTACTATTATATACGTAAAGTTTAGTTTATTCTACTCAGATTGTATATGGCGTTATTTTCCTTCATGACAATCATAATTTCACAGGCTAATACTCCTTGTCACCCGCGGGCCACGCAAGGTCATCCCAGGGGACACAAACAGCCCGCGGACCATGAGTACGACACTCCTGGGATATTTCATTCATTATAAATACACAATAAAAGAGTATTTTGTGATAATCTTAGAGGACGAAGGACTGGCTTAATCGTGTAAAACAGCTGACTGTAAGATTGAAATGCCCCCGGCCATAGGAGTGTGCTTGATGTTTCTGCCTTAAAGGATGTTTCTGGAAGGGATAAACGCCTTGCCAGATGCCACACCTGCCCGAAGTGGAACGACTGACACGCCTCTCGGAAATCCAGTCTTCAAACCGGATGACGTCACGGAAACCGAGTCACCAGATCCAATTCATTCACGAAGGAACACAAACCGATGAACGTGACTCATGAGGTGAAAATAGATTAGGAAAAACTAGTCTTTTACCTACTGGCGTTAAAGAAGTTTTCTGCCTGTCACTTCCTTCGATCTCGGCGAGGACTGAGAACCGCTCAGCCACGAGCGAGGAAAATGGCGTCGGCGTGTCACGAGAACGAAAATAGGTCAGAAATGGAAAGGTGAGTCGAACCGCGCCCGTCGGTGAGGTTTCCGACTTGTGGGAAATTCAGTGCAGAGTAGTTTTAAATATACATTTGTGAGTGAATCTGATTGTGTGAGTGGATACACATTTATATACATTTATATGAATATATGCATACACATAATCACACACTTGCATATACATATATAAATAGATAGACATACAGATATAGGCAGATAGATATAGAAAATAATGTAGATAGATACATAGAGATATATGTATGTGTATAGTATGTATATAGTATGTTTGTATAACCAATTGCATATTATAAAGCATCTTTCATTATCTCAGAACCATTATCATGGTACCCACACCCATAGTCGGTTTATTTGCATATTGTATAATAGATTACATACCTGACATTGCATAAGTAGAGTGTGCGCGTCGATATAATGGTCTTGATATGAAGTAATTGTATTCCGGTTTTGCTCAGTAATGCGTTTTGGGGTATTCTCGGACCACTCACACTTGGTTATTTAATTCTCTCTCTCTCTGTGCCTTCTCTTTTCTTGTGTCTTCATTTTCGTCTCTCTCTCTCTCTCTCTCCTTTCTCACACTCTCTCTTTCCTCTTTTTCTCCTTTCTTTTTCTCTCTCTCTCTGTTTACAAAACTGCCACAAAGTAAATAAACGACAGAATACAAACCCACGAAGAACCCGTGACGTATGACGCAGAGAGTCAGAGATCGGAAGCAAACACAATGACGTCACAACGAACGTTTTTGATTTCCTGCAGAACCTGTTTATAAGCCAATCGTCGTCGCTTTGGCCAGTGGTCATCTAACGCTCTCTGGAAGGAGAAGTAACCAAGAACAGAAGTAAACAAGAAGACAATCTTCAGAATGTCGAGCCAAAGGAAGTTCTTCGTGATCGGGAACTGGAAGATGAACGTGGACAAAGCCCGGATCGACAACATCGTCAAGTTCATGTCGGCGGCCTCGTTGGACCCCAACACAGGTCAGTTCCACACATCTACTTCAGTTCGTGTTAGGACTGAAGTGAGTAGGTAATGAAGGATAAATTCAGTTCAGTGATTATGCAATGTCCACAAAAGCGAGATATTAATTTTCTTGTCCCAAACAGAGGCCGTGGTTGGCTGCCCTTCCTGCTACCTGTCCTACGCCCGCCAGAGACTCCCTGACGAGATCGCTGTCGCCGCTCAGAACTGTTACAAGGTAAGATTTTCCCACATAACGAAAAGGATTACCATATAGTCCTTCTGCAGAAATAAATATTGTGAAATGTCATATCAAAATCTTATTCATCATTTTGTACAGGTTGCTCATGGTAACTTCAGCGGCGAGATTTCTCCCGCCATGATCCTGGACTCGGGCTGCGAGTGGGTCATCCTGGGTCACCCTGAGCGAAGGACCATCTTCAAGGAGTCAGACCAACTCATCGCCGAGAAGGTCGCGCACGCGCAGCAGACTGGCATCAAGGTCAGCCTCTTCCTCATCGCTTTCTTAGTTTTGGAGAATGTTTTAAAAGGACTCGAATGAGATATTGGAGATTTCCTTTTCTAGATATGCATGAATTATTTAATTCATCTTAATGTGCAATTGCAGATAATCGCGTGTCTGTGCGAGACGTCGGAGGACCGCGAGGAGGGTCGCACGGACGACGTCCTGTTCGGCCAGATGAAGTCCCTCGCCAGCATCAGCGACTGGTCGCGTGTGGTGATCGCCTTCGAGGCTCTGTGGGCCAGCAATACCGGCGTCCTGGCCACAGCTGCGCAGGTACAGGAGGCCTTGGCCAAGCTGCGACACTGGCTGCGCGCCAACGTGAGCGACAAGGTGGCCAACAGCACCAGAATCCTGTACGCAGGTTCCGTTTCGTCGAGCAACTGTCGAGAGCTGGCTCAGCTGGAGGACCTGGACGGCTTCCTGGTGGGGAGCGCGGCCCTCAGACCCGACATCGTCGACATCATCAACGCCCGACGACCCGACGTGTCCAGCCTCATTGCGCACTTCGACCGACCCGACGGCCGACGCGCCTGACGCGGGCGGGTCACTCCTAGTTTTCGTAGTTTTATGGCTGTTTATTTATTGAAATAAATATAAGAAATGTTTCTATTTTCATCGATTTCATGTGTTTCAACTTATCCACCTCACAAACGTAAAAAAGGGGCGAGTAACTACGTTTCTCGAAATGCAGCAAAAACACTCATTGATAACGAGAAAGACTAGTAGCATTAACTGGTGACGAATCTGAAACTGTTGCAGTACTAAGACTATGTTAACACGATATACTACGCTGTGGTATTTATGAAAGCAACAACAAAATAAGAAAACAGATCATATGCTCCTACAATATTTCTACAAAACATAATGAAATATTAAAATGATAATTGTAAATCAGGCTTACCTTATATTAGTGTTGTCTTGTAACATTCGTTTTTAAGACCAATTCAAACTACCTTCGCGTTGGAAAAATCATTAATCATTCGTGGCATCAATAAAGATAAACTGAATTCGAGAATGAGAATAAATAAACCTTTATTGGATTATGTGAAAAACTTTGAAAGCGGAACAAGAGGTGGTCGAAAGTTTATATTCACATTCCTCATAAAGACCACATGGGCACGTTTATGTTTAGCTGATACCCACATGCAAAATACACACAGAAAGGTAGGTTTAGAGTATAATTACGTGTAGGTCATGTATGTATCATAATCGAATAAGTACATTATTTGTTCTCCGGAAGAGCTGACGTCTCTCACAGAAAATAATAAATGTCTCCTCTTTATACATGTACTAAGTGGTCAAGTTTATGCATTATATATATATATATATATATATATATATATATATATATATATATATATATATATATATATATTCTCTTTTCTTTTTTCATAAGAGACAAACCTGAATCCTCCTGCTTTCATAGTATTGTAAAACATCCTTATGAATATTCCAAGACAAAACATTACAGTATTCAGTGGCGAATGCACACACACAAACAGAGGCCTGACTTTAGACGATATAGAGTAGATATTTGGACACACGGTGAAGGTGCACTTTTCAGCAACACAACAACATAACACTGTTGATAGTGATCAAAGTAATAATGATAATGATAATAAGGTTATATGTAACAATGATAATGATACTAATGATGATAATTTTGATTATGATTTTATAATATTAATATAATCATTATTAATCTTACTATTATTATTGTTATCATTATTGTTATCATCATCATGATCATCATCGTCATCAACATCATCATTATTATCATTATATCATTATTATTATCATTATCATCATT